ATTTCTTTCACACCAAACCCCACTTCAGCTATGGCAGCTTTAGCCTCAATGGAACATAATTTCACATCTTCATGATTATCGGCACTGTGTACACAACCAACTGATCCTTTAAATGATTATTAATTTTTTAAATACATGAACTTTAAATTGATGTATTTAACATACCAAAAGTCTTTTTAGTTGCAGTTGTCATTCCTGCTGGAATAAAGAATGTAAATAAAAACAGGGATAATGATAAATCGATAAGAGCAAAACAAGTGAACAAATAAAAGATCACAATAGTTCCTAACAACCTAGATAAGCCACTCTTATTTTTATCATAAAGAAACTGACATGCACTCCACCGGAATTACATACATAGTATATACTATTTAAATTCTCTCTGCATATCGTAAGCTAAAAATCCTTACCCCAGCTAACCCATCTAGACCACCATCGCCACAAAACCCCTTTACAACTGTTCTCAGGAGGTCGTTGACAAAGGATAACAGAGCAGTGATGAGACTTGGCAGTTCTGGCTAACCTACTATTGAAAAGGACGTTTTTATGTCCTTACTCTACTTGTTGTATCTTCACAAGGCTTTTAAGGTATTAAAGAACTCTCTAGATCCTTCTTTAACAGATAATCCCAGAACACAACCCTCTTCAACGAATAAATAGTGACCTTACCGTCATGAAATGATTGCTGGCATTTAGTAAGTGTGACTGTATATCCAGGTATTTAAAGAAAGGTTTTGTCTCTGAAATTCAGAAATTAAACAAGAGCTGATAAATCATTGGGAATAATTCTTTTTTGAGTTGTTTACACTGAAGAGTACGGAAGAAGTCAATATTTCGGATCTAACAGGGAGCGAATTCATACTCACTGCGTTTACTTAGTGTGCGTACGTTTTATGAAAGTTGATTTATATAAACACACAAACATCGGTACAAGAAGGCACCAAATATATATGCACCACATAAATCACTCGATTCGTGTGAGGGCCGAGAAACTGCACGGGTGCACAAACCGATACAAATAATTTTTTAAGAGGCTGTAGTGACTCACATTTATCACGAGAACACGACTGGTTTCATAAAACAATTATTATTATAACCAACTGTACCAGTGTTTGTTTTAACGTGCTTTTGTTTGACTGTGCTAATGACAGCTATATTTTGCTTCCTTTCTTTTACACACACTTCGATTGTAACTTCGCGCGAATTCGGTTACCTTCTGTAACCAAGGTTGTATCCTGGCACGATCTCGGTATCCTTTCGATGCCACGAGATCGCCAGCAAATATACACCTCGACTTGGTCCATTAACTGCCTTCTGATATTTGGCTTCTCGGAGATTTTATGGATCTACTTGGTTACGTCCAACCTTCGCCTTCTGATCTATTCTGGCACGTGTTTCTTGATAGCGGTGTTCATAGTCAATTTCGACTCGACGCCACGCTACAAGGCTACACCCCTAGACTTCGGCCTAAACGAGTGAACCAACATGAAGTGGAACAACGTCAGGAGATGCAGACCCATGACCAATGATCAGTCCATACGCCATCCGCCCCCTCAGGATCCTGGAGTCCATGTGCATCATTGGCTTGGAATAAGGGTTTTCCAACTTACCTAGGTGCATCCTCAATATCCACCAACCTAGTTATAGCACCGGAAATTCACTTTTCTTCCTCTCAGTTTCGTGAACAACAATCCCATCATGAGAAGGAAGTGAGTAGGACTTCATTGAAAGAGGCTATATACGCGTGGCCATGTGAGAGCATTTCGAGAGAGAGAGAGCTGACTCTTTCCACATCGACCGTACCAGGACATTTAGGGGTTTTAGTGATTGTGACCATTCACATGGGATTACGTCCAGTTTCCAGATTGTAGCTAAAATATTAGTCAACCATCCTTAAAGATCTCTAGAGTTAATCCATCCGGACCAGCTGCTCTTTCTTGTTTCGAATTAGCTGTAACCTTTTTAACTTCGACTAGAGTCGGGGGTCAAACTTTCATGTTCAACTAAGGCTGTTTTAGAATAGTGGTCAGTTGTAATGTATCTGAAAGCCAGCCGAAATACTCCTCAAAGTGCTCCGCCCATCGTTCTAGACGTCTGAACTGAGACCAAATAAGTGTCTTTTTTTTCGAGTTCGCTTCACGCTTGAATTCTTAACTCTAGGTTCTTTTATTAGTGTGAAAATCTGCCTTGTGTTACCCACAGTCGATACCTTTTCCATCTCTTATGCTTTCGTTTCCCCCTATTGATCATGGTCGTTCCTTAAACTTTTGGTTAGGCTAGATCTAGTTGGTTTTCGTTATTCATCGTGTTCGCAGTCTCGTGGGATAAATTTACGAGAGTCTAACAGTGCAATAAGTATTGCAGAAATCCGATGGTTTTTGGTGACCCTCTGGTTCAAATCACCACTGGATGTAGCTGCTGTTTCCACGGATGTTCGTTTATCCTTCTAAGTAACATCTGGAGCAGCCTCATTCTTAGAATCTCATAAGCTCCACCTCAAAGAATTTACATGAGCCTTTCTTATTTCCAGTGAAAAGTGAGCAAACGTATGTTCCTATTAGGGAATGATCAGATTCGAAACATGTATTCCAGAACGAGATGCAGTCTTTTATCGAGTCTCTTTAATTGTGCCTGGTGACAGTGTGGTCTATTTGAATCCATCGCTAATTTATTGCAGTGGGTCACCATGTAAGGCAATGTCTCTCCCTATATTTCAAAACAGTGCTTATTAAAAATAAACGATTTTCTCAGCAAACTTGCAGTAGACGGTTACCATTACCTGTTTGCTGAGCTGGAATCCTGAATACCCACCCAAATATCTTTCTTCCCTAACTACTTGGTTATTAATTTCGCCTGCTACGAGTGTTTAGTTTTGTGAAGAAGTTCAGAAAGCATCTATCAAACTCATCTTTCTCTTCATCCGAAATGCAGTGAGTGGGAGCGTAGGAAGAAATAACGGAAAGGCATCGAACTGTGTCCCTATTCCTCCGAGTTTTTACGTGTCCGTTCAGTCGAACAGCATATGGACTGTTAACAGAAATCTATTCTTATAATGCTTGTTCTGTTCTCGTTCTGGCAAGCACAAAGCCAACGATTCTAGTGTGCGAAACACTGTGCCAAGTCTACTGAATGTTCGAAACTTCAAGTTCTGAGAGTTAAATCGAACTACCACACAGTTTTAAAATAAACACCCAAATACATGATATATTTGCCGATAATTTAGCCAAATTTTTCGAAGTACGGAGAACAGACTACAGCGAAATTATCATTCCACATTTAATAGTACATCGAGTCATGACAAAAAGTCAACTAGATTCGGCACGTCCACGTCGATTACTGCCAGACGAACTTACCATTTCAAAAACCAAATATGAACACGTGATGCGATTTGGAATAATTCATTCTTCGAGCATCCTCTGTACAGCTTCGCTTAACATGGTACCGAGGAGGAGTCCGGATTCGCGACTTCGTGCTGAATAACTTAACTTTACCTGATCGTTACCCGAGACCCATTTGCAAGATTTGTAGCTTGCGTTTCATCCAAAGCAATGGTTTTCTAAAATCGGCCTTGTGCGAGCATGCCGCAAGGCTGCACTAGTGTCCAATGGATAAACTTAGTAATATACCGTCTCTGGGTCGAACGGAGTAATCTGTGACTGAATTGTTATAGGTTATTTTTAGTCGATCAGTTGAAACAGCCACTATTCTGTAGTATCACGCGTTAAAAATCAGAATATCATAGAGCAGGTGCATTGTGATGTCAGCCACTCGGGAAAACGAAAAACCGAACATTCTATTTGCCAGAGATTTTGTTGATCATCCTTCCACGAAGATGTTTTGAAAGGATAATTTGAAGAATTTTGAAAAAGTTAAAACTTGCTACACCAAAACGTCACTACGTTAACCCCAATGATAACAGCTGGGCCATATATGCGAGTTGGCATCGATATTGTGGGGCCGTTTCGACGACGCGTATCTCCGAGTCAAAACCAATCTACAGAATGCCAACAAACACCAGAATATCATGTACGAAGGACAACTGAACAGGCCGGTGTATAAACGTGAAGATCGTGTTTGGCAGCAACATCCTGAAGCTTCATTAGGGACTTTCAGCAAGTTCCACCATTCTTGTTGAGATTCTTTCGAGACTGTGTTTATCTGATCTCCTTTTAACTTTGCCTTTCTTAACCTTTAGTGGCCTCAAGACGACGTCAAAATGATACGTTGTAACCAGTTGGAACCAGAACAAATGGCGGCGCACTTAGATACCCAGTTTGCCGAACAATAGCCTGCCACCAACAATAACGAAGTGTCATCAGAATGACATATGGCATATCCATATTTACATTAAAATACTGTAGCGTGGTGTCGAGTCGAAATCGACTATGAACACCACTACAAAGGAACGCGTGCCAAAATATCCATAAAATCCCCCGGAAGCCAAATATCAGAAGGCAGCCAATGGACTAAGTCGAGATATATTTGCTGGCGATCTCGTGGTATCGAAAAAATACCGAGATCGTGCCAGGATACAAGCTTGGTTATAGAGCGTAACCGAATTCGTGCGAGGTCACAATCGAAGTAAGTATAATGGACGTTTTTAGCACAGTTAAAAGAAGAGCACATAAAACAGTCACTGATACACTTGATTATAATAATAATTTTTTTCAACAAACCAATCGTTTTCTCGTGATAAATGTGAGTCACTACAATACTATGGACAGTGCTTCATGGAGAGAGGTTGTTGTGACAATATTAAATGGTATTATATTTAGTTTTAGTAAAGTGAATCTTTTAACGAGGCTATAATTTATGGACGAACCAATAAAGTATAAAATAACAGGTCGCGGATTTTAGCTCGAAGCTCATTCATCCATTTGGCCAAATATAATTTTGACGTTATGGCTGATGTTAATTCGTGACGAAAACCTTAAATCTCATTACTAACCCTAACCATCAACTGTAAATGATGATTCTAATTAATCTCACTAGTTTATAACCCTCATTTGGTACCAGTTGTACGGTGGACACTCAAGGTCACTTCAGCGTCACTCAATGGTCGTCCATAATTTATAGTCTCAACAATCTTCTCTATAGCAGGGCGACGAAAAGTAAATGGACTGGAAGAAGAACGAGTCCTGATCAAACTGGACTTGAAAAATGACGTATGAGACTATATTGTAAAGAATCTCTCCCTTTACTTAAAGGACCGCGTTATTCGAGTTTTGGAGAATGTATGCATGTTAAGAAACATTGCATGCAGTTTTGCTTGCACGTTGTGTTCTTCCTCCGCTCAGATTCAGTGATCCTGATTCGTATGCTATTGTTTTGGATCTCTTATGCTTCCAAATAAACGCCGATATCATGTGTTACAGCTTTGCCTCAACGTGTCTACAAATTAACCCTTTAGTTACACATCTTCCCAAAATTGTCTGCTTCCTGGGAAAAAGGTGGACATTTCATATAATTCTCTGGTTAAAATCGACCCCTCCTCCCCAGCGTTTTACAAAATATTTTCTGGAATGACTCGTATTCGAAGTTTGGTGAACATTGATGCAACAACATTTTTTCATCCATATCCAGGAATTACTTTTCATTCTTCAAAGTGTGAAGAAGTTTATCTGAGACATGTCTCAAACCTCATATACAATTTAGGGGATTACTCCTTAGATGTGCTCCAGGTTGAGAAGATGGGAGTCTTGATATTTTGTTATATGATTGTTGAGCTATGACGAAAGTGCTTTTTGAACTTGCATTTAGTTTCTATCCGTTTTGTCCACTGTTATTTAGAGTACGGAATTTCAGTATTTCCTCACTCCGAAGGAATAAGAGTACCCCAAAACATTTATTTATTTGAACACAAATATTGGTACCAAGGGTCGCCGAATACATGTGCGCCACACAAGTCACTTGGTTTTGCGGTATCCTAAACAAACTTGAATACCCTCTTTATTATCTGAGGTTAATTTCCAACAAAAACCTTAGAGACAATGCCCTAGAATTAAAAGTACAACATATGAAACGACTGTAGGCATACCCACTTTTTGTGAGTAATCAAGTCCTGGAATTAGCTTCCAGCGAAGATGGTCTCAACAACTTCCCAAGAGTCCTTTAAGAAAAAAGTTGATGTATACCTATAGACTCAGAACAACATTTCATTATAACTTACTAATGTATCTGTCTTGTTTGTTTAATATACTTAGTGGATTCCTGAAGGTATTGGTGATACACTGCTACTAGATACTGAAGCCTGTTAAGTAAAATCTAACCTTTCCACAACCATCTGGATTCAATGATCAAGTGTAATATCTAAATATCCATTTAATAATAGTAACCCTACTGCGTTAATAGCCCGTTTCATCAGTATGATAGCTCATCAATATCTTCCTCTGCGTCTTCGTCTACTATAAGGTTCATTTTTAAAATTCATCCATCTATTGCCCCTGTAACCTGTCGCGGTAGCTTACTATTATGGTCTCAACTTTTCATGGCTCATCGGTCTTGGTTGTAGGGTGTTGTTACACAATCTAAAACTTAAAATGACCCTTCAAAAATGAGCGGTCCGGTCATGGTGTTTAAAAATATCGGTTCTTAATGTTATTCTAAGTGAATGTACACTTAAAATCCTTTTCCGCGAAACTATTGCTCGATGTTGTTAACTTAGGGTACCGTATTCTACAAACAACCATATTTAGTGGTGACTTACTATTAAGCAATCAGCGGCTATCAATAGTTTTTGTTTGTGTGTACAAACTAGGTAGTATATAAATTAGCTTAAACTGTACTGGAAGCGAGTTGGTGGGTAGATAACTGAAGTTGCATTAACTCATTACCACATTTCCCACGTACTTGAGGTGCTTAAGGTGCTATCTGAAGGTCTTTTTATCTGTATAGTTTCTATCCTTAGAAAGAAATTACTCGTGGTAGCTTTTTTATAAAGCAAGACCTGTTTGTACTTTATTTTGCAAGTATTTGTTCTAATTTTTATTAGTTTTTATCATCTAAATCCTGATAACCCACATTAGTTTTGCTTTCCAGATTCTACTTAGTCAGTTAGAAACTACCTAATGCAATCAAGCTGATTTACATACTGTTACTTCTCAGGAATATCCTAATGCATGATGCCTTTTGCATCATTCAAGAATGTCCAAAAACGACTCTCCAAAATCCATAAAGAACGTTCCCAAGTATGCCTTTTTAGCCCTTTCGAAATATTTCTTTTTCTTTAGCCTCAACGTAGACACCATCTTGGAATACTACCGAAAAAACAGGATTTCCGTTTAAGAGCCAAGTGAGGTTGAATTGCATATTTCACTTTGATGTTTCAGGGATAAGGAATCAAAAAGTGCTAAAATAAAAGAGTTAAGAAGTAAAGCTTTAGATAAAAACACAGATGAATTTTACTTCAATATGTGTAATTCTCGTTTTGATGTGAGTTGTTATCTACATGAAGCCTAATTTTATTGTTTTTTATTTAGATGGAAAAAGGGCATATTCCGTTAGATGTAGAAAAAAGTTATTCAGACTCTGATATTAAGTCATCATTTTATAAAAACGTTACGCACCTACAATATGAATTACAAAAAGAAAAGTCTAAGATACATCAACTTGAGTCGAAGACTCATTTACTGCAAAGTGAATCACAAAATCCCTGTTCGAGGAAGACTCCCAAACATATTGTATTTGCGGAAACCTATGGTGAAGTGGTTGAACTACACCACAAATATGCGGAGAAAGTACAAGTGGATGAAACTATTTTTGACAAAGTGTCTTTCAGTGACCCCTATTTTGAAGACATTTATTCTCAACGTTTTAATGCTTACAAGGAATTATCTGAACATCTAGAAAGAGCCAAACAGTTGAAATATCTTTTACGTCAGCACGAAGCTAAGAAAAGTCTTATGGTATGTTCCTATTCAAGACATATTTATTAGTTGATATTTGAACCAGTACTTATTGTAGTCCTTAGTTCCTACGGTATAGATGACCTCAGTTGTTTGACATCCGTAGGTTAATTGGGTGATGTTTGAAATTATGTGGTAACTGTTAGACTAAAAATTTATGATTGGTTAAAATTATTTAAGACTAAACAAATAAATTTCTATCTTTGAATTAATTTTAAAATAAACTAATGCACAGATCTTTGTAGTGGGGCCAGCACGCGTGCATATAGTTTAGCTTGGATTCAACTTTGTATAATATATGGAGGACTAATAAGATGCATATAGATAACACATTCGTCATCACTAAAAAAAAGTCAGCTGGTAATTACTTACGATTTGGCCAACAACGCCTATAGTGACGTAAGATTTAAACTAGAAACGGATTTAGACAATAAATTACCATTCTTAAGTCTGTCGATCACCAAAATCAGTGCTAAAAAACTCGAGTAAATTGTAAACGAACTCACATTAATCAAATTGTGGATTACGTCAGCAAAAACTTAAGGACTTATAAATTAATCTGTGTACAAACTGTTCAAAAGGCAAAAATGTACTGAAACACTTTGCAGAAAGATGATATGAAATACCCAATCGATGCATGTCAAAAGTATAACCACCTACAAGATTTAATCAAGAAATCCATATTAATCCCATCGCCGCGTAAAACAATCAGCAAACGTATAGTCCTTCCGCACATGAGAACGCCTATGTTAAAATAGGCAAATTACTAAGCTCGCAAAATCCCGATGTTCAATATTAAGCAAGCCAAAGGACACTGGCAAAAAATAAACGAAACACTCTTCCATGATCTACGAGGATACTGTAGGACAAACTGGCCTTCCTGTTCGCCTGCCTCTACGTAAATGCCAACAAGCTGTCAAATGTTACGACATACCTTCGCTGATACCAATGAATTTGAGCAATTCTGAACACGAAGCTGGTCGGGGAAGCGAAAATATAGATAGGTGAAACAATCCCATGATTCTCAGGTTATTCATCAATTAATGGATATATCGACATTGCCCGAACGTTATTGCTACCTTGACGTGGTGTTCGGGCTTGCCTATCGTGATAAACCAATCGAGCTATACTGGCTGAAACAATCTTTCCTCAAGGTCCTACCATGCCAGACAGGTTGGTTGAAGAGCGGTAAGAATAAAAGCAGCAAACTCAAGGTGCGTTCCGTTCTACTGTACGGCCGCAAAACATGGCCATTAAGAGTAAAAGATACTCGTAATCTATTAGTATTTGACCACAGATGCCTTAGAAATATTGCTCGCATCTGCTGGGATCACCGGGTAAGTAATAGTGAGGTTAGACGCAAGGTATTAGGAAGTGATGGTAAATCAGTTGATGAAATTGTGAATCTTCATCGACTGAGATGGTTGCACCACGTATCATACATGCCCGACCACCGACTACCACAACGCACAATGCTGACTAGTGTTGTGAACAGTTGGAAGAAAGTTAGGGGCGGCCAAACCAAAACATGGCATCAGTGCTCGAAGTCACTAACTTCTCGTCTTAGCCGTGTCGTTAGATGCAGAATACTTGGTGTCCGCGTGACTATCGTAACCAATGGTTGGAGACTCTTGGTGACATGGCTCAGAATCGATCACAATGGCGTCGGTGTATACACTTTTTGTCTTCCTTTAAATTATGAGATTAGAATCACTTCATGTCTTTCTTCCTGCCAACCAATTCTTTCTTCCTGTATTATATCCTTATTGCAATCTTTCTTTTATATATTACTACCATTGAAGTAACTTTCTATGAAGTTTGTGTTCATCTTGTGCTAATGAGGCATGGGGTCTTGGACCGATGCACATATGTGCCTGGTCTTGCGTTGTAATTAACTGACTGACTGATATCGAAATTGGCTCAATCTGTCAGGAAAAATAACTGCAACGTTGGAAATCAGACTGACAACCAAAATAAATCTCCAAGCAAAGACAGCAACTGATCGAACTTCACGTCAACAAAACAGGCTTTTATTCAAGTGTGGATAAATCCCAGTGCCTCACTTGTTTCGAACTATGTACTCAGGATGTTGTGCAGCTCAGAGAACATAACACCTCCGAAATGAAATAGTTGTACCTGTAGAACTACTAAATCTTGAGCCCCCCATACTATCAGACAATGATGCTGTTTCTCCTTAATCTGTTCATTCTGATTCCTCCATTTTCATTATTTTTAGCTACATTTCCAGTGTTTGGTTTGCTATCACGATTTATATGAAAATCAATTGTTGAGTCAATTGAGGCTAGACCTGGAAGCACTGATAATAATCAACATATGCTCCCCAGTGACTGGCTTCAAGATGTGTATCCTGGAGTTCTAGTGAGAAGCAGTGACCAGAGGAGTTCAACCGGGTCAGTTGTGAGACAGTAACTCACTGACAATAGTGGATGTGTCGTTCAGTTTCGTAGATTAGTTGAAGTTAGACATTAACACCATTGGATGCCGGCTCAGTGGTTAAGTGCTGGAGCGCGAGACCAGTAGGTCATGGCTTCGAGTCCCGCGAGACATGATCGTGGATGCGCAATGCTGACGAATCCAACAGTAGGACGAAACGGCCGTCCAGTGCTTCCAGGTTTCCCATGGTGGTCTAACTTCAATTGACTCATGATCTCAACAATTGAAATTACTAAAATCTCCACAAAACCCCCTTATATAAATATCTAGACATTTTCGCCTGTTTTCTTTAATTCCGTTTGAAGCCCTTAAGGAATAACACCGGTATTAACGTCGAATAAAGGAAGTGGGTTGGGTGTAGTGTTGAATACATCGTAACAATTTATCTTATCAAAAAGAGTGATCAATTCAACCGCTGAAACTTTACCCTGGTAGTTGAGGTGTCTTTATACAGAAGTTATGGTGGAAGGCGCAATTTTTCGAAAGGCAAATGTCCCTTCTAACAACCAGAATATGGAATAACTGGACAATATGGAAACTCGAAAAAGTCAATTCAGTAGTGGTGAAAATGCGAATATGCAGCCTGATCGTGTTTGGAACAAGTGAAACAAACTAGAAACAACGTAGACAAAAGGACTAACTTCTGGATGATATTGTTGCATTGTGCTCATGGCGAAGAAAATGACTCTAAAACAAACACGATGTTATTTAAAGAAGAACAAAGCGCGCTTATTTATTTGAAAACTCAGCTCCAGGACTATCAAAGCATCCTTCAAAACAAAGAAAACAAGGATAACAATAAGTGTGGTGCAGTGTTGTGCACCTACTGATAATGAGATCCAAGGCGAGAAAGATTAGCTATGTGATCATGCAGGCCATCCTAGAGAGGGCAGCAAAGCGACCAGACAACTCACTAATGACAAAGCAACATGCCGAGTGAAGCACTGAATCTAATCAGAGGTAGTTACAAACATGCTCTACGTTCGCTTTGCAAAGATTTGGGAGGGGCAATTAATACTAACAAACTGGAGGCAGGGATAGCTCATGAAAATACTGAAGAAAAAGAGTTTTAGTAAGTGTGAGGACTACAGGTTGGATTTTGTCGTTTATAAACCGAATGGAGACTGCGAATAACTGTCGAACAACCAGTTAAACGGAAATCATCGCTATACATCAACTGGTTATGAGAAGACGTTCGACAGCGTGCATAGGTGAACCGTTTGGAATCATCTCATCTTGTAAGCTATTTTTGGAGAGTATTAGTGCAACTCTTTGTGTATGCGAGGCATTTTCTTCTTTGTGACCATAAGACAACGCGATCTCCCTTGAAGCTAGTCTTTTCTGTTGGGCTTATGTCCAACGGGTTTCATTTATTTGAAGCACTGCTAGGTTGTATCTTCTCATCTCCACAGCTATTTAAATGGTCCTCCCAGCCTTCAATATTGTGTGACACTCTGCATACTTATACATTATTCTGATCGCTAGAAACGGGGTCGGCCTCATGTTTTCCGAAATCATGGCTTTCACTATGAGGGTTCATAACTCATTTATATAAAAATCCTTCAATTGTCAGGACAGTGTTTAAATGTTTTAAGTAAATTTTCTGGTTGGCGTATCTTATCAAGGTTCTTTACTACGGGATAAATTTGCTTAGTCTATGATCAACCCTTATTTATCCAGGTTTGGGACTGGTAGTTATCCTAGAAGGGTACATTCCGGAATAACGGGTATAATAATATGAAGGCAAAAGTATTTCTTAAGATAATACAATTAAGAAGAAAAAACACTAAAAACGAACTGAAACAAAAATCTACAGATTGCTTTTCACATTATCATAAGTACCACTAACGTTACTGATTCCTGTTCTGTTATATTACAAACACCAACGACCGATACTATGTCTCCACTCAACTCGAAAAAAAATAACATGAGGCTTCGCGGAACAATATCTTATTTGTCTAGCCATCTTTTGATTTTACTTCACTTCGGAATAAACTGTCAAAATAAGCTCGTGTCTCAGTGTACCTAAATCCATATGCAAAAAACCGATATGGTGGATTAAGCCGAATTCAAAGTTTTTTTACCTATCTATAAAAGTAAATATTTCTTTAATCGAACCTTACCATCTAAAGTGTAATTTCTTTTCTACTAGGCAAATTTAACCAAAAGAGCGTACAAAACCGTATTCAAAGGAAGTAAGACGGCGCCTCCCGTTTATGAATTTGAACCTGTCCGGGATCGATGAACATTTGAATTTTGTTTAGAGTCATCTAATTTGTACATTTCATTGTCTCTGATGTATGTCCAGGAACATCTAAAGAGTTTCACCATATGACTTAGTGTTTTCTACTTAATCAGCAGTGGTCTGCTCACCTGGTATCTTGTTCGTGTTTAGTCCCGTAACTGATGACACTTGCACTACCTGATTTCACAAACTGTTGTAACGAAGGGAATTCTACACGATGCATATATGTGCCTGGTCCTACATTGTAGTTGACTGACTGACTGACTACACGAATGGTGTAAGTTTTATGGTCGTTTTGAATGAACCGTGATCAAAGTTTAGCTACTCACAACAACTGATTTACACATACGATGCCTTAATGGAATTTTCAGATCTTATTGCTCATAAATAGTGGTAAGACTGGGCACTAAAATAATTATGGGCCACAAAAATGAAAAAATAAGATTGTTAATAGATAGAAGAGTCGAGGGAACTAAAATCAAATATAGATGCATAAGTAAAATTAAGAGAAAGAGAATATTATGTAACAGAAGTCACAGTTCTGTTACGAATGGAACGAGAAAGAGTTTTCACTTAAGTATGTCCCTCCCGCTTCTGTATGCATGTATAAAAAAACCACACCAGGATTACCACTATCTCTTATTCTGATCCATTTCTGATAATATCTCAAGCCATTAGGTTGCACCAGGAAGTCGCTGTGAACCTGTAGGTGCTATTCTTGTTCATCTTTTCACATTACTGCTTTGAGTCATAACCCAACCATCTCTCTGCTTTTCCCATCGAATGTCGGCAAACAATATTCGATGTCGACATTAATAATATATTTCCAAGGCACAAGGCGGTGTTTCAACATGGTGACACCAGTTGAGTTGTCGTCACTGTAACTAAACGTATATCTGAACCCTACAGATTACTGGTGTTGTCACTGGATGTCATAAATCCCTCGGAGACAACGATGATAGCGTTGCTGATAATCCTCGACGCAGAGAGGCCAGACTTCACAAAAATGTGGCAGAACTGCTCTGACCAGCATTTTGCAGCCAGACTAAGATCACGATGGCGATAAAGATGACTCAGATTAACAAAAGGCTAGACCCACCTGTCGCGCCACTACAATCTCTCATAAAAGTAAGCAGATAGATTGATTTTCCGACCACTCTAAACAGCTCACTACTGAGAGTCAGCATAAACATGCTTCTATCAGTTTTAAAAAAGTAATTTAGAAGGCGCAAAATACATTCCATAATTATGGACATCAATTAGTTAGATTGGATCTGGATGGACTGTGTACATAGCGTTCAGTTTGCTAATAAAATCCTTACACACACCTGTACTGTGAAGCGAAAGCGACTATAATATCAAGGAACAACGGTCTCTGGTCTGCAATCATCGTGTAGGTGCCCTAATATTTGGCAAAATATAATGCGATAAACGTATCCACAAGCTTATTGAAAACAACCCTGCTTCCCACAGATTTTAGAAAATTGTTCAATGTGAGAGAATGCAATAGATTTACCCCCTGATACTTGTATGGTTTATGTAGGTCCTTTATGAATATGTGGGTAAAGGTCCCTTCACTTTGGGATGTTGGAAAAATCTCTGTTCTACAAGCATTTGTAATCACCTTTGTCGGCTCCCTGATCAGACGTTTGCCTCATTCGTGTGTCAAAAGACAACTTAACTAGACTGTAGAAACGAGTCATTTTGTACAATAATGGGAGGTAACTATGAGTAAAAATGACTGAGACGCAATGTCTGTATGACCAATGAATATGGGTTTTTCTAGGTCGGTAAACAACCTGCCAAACTAAGCGCTGATTGTCGGAATTGCTTATTACTGATTATCTTAATCCAATTAATTCAAACCTTAATAACGAACCTAGTCGTCCAGAATGGAGTTATTTAACAAGCGACTGATGCTGTGTTGGAAAATCAACACGCCTAGCTGACCCGTCATACAAATGTTCCTATGAATATAAATATGATACTATCCGGAGTTACGTCATTAAAAAAATAACACTTAATGTTCACCGCTATTAAAAGGTTTCTATATATACTGGATGTGAAAAATAAAGTTTGATGAGAGGCCTTTTGGTTATGTGTTGAGTCTTGGAGTGTAGTTCCACAGTCCGAGATCTTGATGCGGCCTAAATCACAAGGTTTTTTCTCAAAGGTTCTCAGTATGTCAATAAGAAAACGGCACGACTTAAGTCAGTAGCTGACTGCGCTACAAAGGGTATGCACTTTACTTATAGGATCAGCCACAACCATTATTATTTACAGCTTAATTACGCAGTCGGTGAAAGCGTCCTACCAATCCGTTTGCTTTTGCGTGGTTGGCGGTCGTTCGGAATCTTGTGGTTCCTGATAATGTGGTTAGGCGACGGAAAAGTCCAGATTCAAACTAGCGTCCACGGTGATATTTTAAGGGTAATCGAAGTTTGCTACCTACCGTTCGATAAAGGTGTGGGCCACTGCTTCAACAGTAATGTCCTTGATGGGTACTGCTTCTGCCCATCGAGTGAAATGGTCTACACAAGTTAAGAGACAAGATAATCCATTTGAATCTGGTAAGTGTCCTAACGAATTCAGATGAACGTGATCGAGACGAGCATCAGTACTTTTGAATGAGTCGAAGGGACATTTCTTGTGTCTGATCACCTGAGATTTCTGGCAGCTTACACAGAAGTGTGTGTGCAGAAACTTCGAGATGCTTATTATCAAATCGCCAGGCTTGTCCGTGATATCCGTAGAAAATCGTTGAGAAGTATTGCGATAAAACGAGACATTTCGGATAATTCCATCGGAATTGCAGAAAATCCTGGGGAGATATAGAGGAAATCCCCAAATTTTTGTTGAAATATTGTAGGAAAACGAAGTTTTGGGGAAAACGCGAGATTTTGGGGTTTGATCAATAAATATAGACGTATTTCCCCAAAATGTAATAAGACTCTGGTAGAAATTTCGGTAAATATTGGAGAATTTCTCAATATCTGTGGAAATAGCACCAAAACATCAAAAATTTGGAACTTTGATGCAACTAATTGAAGACGTTGCGTCGACTGGACGATCCCCAGTTGTAGATGTGTCTCATAGCAAAGTTCCCTTACTTGTTTCTATCTGTTTAATACACAGTTTTAAAGTTGTCGAAGATAACTTGTGCTGAAGATCAGTGTCTTCTTTTCGAAGCTATGCGAGTTTGAGAAGGTCGATACCTTGGAAACTGTTCACGGAACTAAAACGAAACAAAAACACTTGTAACTGCATTGTTTGCCCCCACATGTGTATTGTGTATCCAAAGTAAACTGCGAAGTATATATAGAGACCGAACGGCATGATGATAGCGGTTTTTGGACTGTCAGCAGCAGTCACGGAAATTTGATCACATGTTTTATCCAAGTCGATTTGTGAAGAAAACAGCTGTACATTTCATGGTAGCTGTCACATCGCGAATGTGAGGCTATGGGTTACGATTAGGAATGGTTTTCTCGTTCAATCACCGTTATTCACCAAATAGACGCAAGTCGTTTCTGTAGTTCTTAGAGACCACGTGCAACGGAGACGCCTATGGGCTATTTGATGACCGAATGATTACTAAAACTGTCATGTGATCGAACTCGTTATCAGCTATTCGGGAGCTGGCTGACGGGCTTTCGAGAACGCAGGTGACTCTGTAGTCGTGATGTGTAACGTTTGTAGTTGCACATGGCAGTTTTGGTCGCGTTTGTTATAGCTGAGGGTACTTATCGAGAATATATGCTGGAAGTGAGGATCGATCGTGTGCTTTACTATGACTGGGTGTAATCTACAACCGGAAGAAATTACACAAACGAATACATCAGTGTTTCTGTCTACTAGCCTCCGTTTGCGTGTGCTGATGTGTAAAATATGGTGTTGTTGTAGGTTTATACCAAAGATTGGCACAGGAACATCTGCAGCGACGAAGATCCAGTGAATAGGTTTGCGTAAATCCATGTTGAAGCACACATATTGCTTACCATATGCGGTGATCGGTTGCCCATTTACCAACTGTAAGTTGAAAAATGTTTCGTTCAGCCGTCGCTGGAACTCGCAGGAAGTACCGGTGTCGACGAGGTAGAGAGCTTTCATCACCACGACAGTGATGCATGATAGACAGCTATGTTCTCTGGCTACGGTTTATGTTGACGTATGCCACCTGGGAAGTTTTCGTGAAGATATTCCTCGGAAAATTTGGGAGCGTCTACGGTTGTGACGAATAGTAAGACAGCGTGTCAGAGTATTACAGAGATCTGTAGCGGCGTTTCGTGTCATTTTAGGTTTTTCTTTGCCCGAATGGATCTCGGTGTTGAGAGTTCTGGGTATCCCCAGAATTCGACTGACAGACGCAGACTACAACTACTTGCACCTGTCGGTGAAGCTAAGACAGGAAAAGCCATCATAGCGGACCCAATGACTAATGATTCCTCGTATTCGTAGCCATATATCTGTTGCTGAGTTATGTTGTACATCGATGTTGTTGAAGAGTTGATCTTACTTTAGTTAACTGGTTAGATCTCCGAGTCTAAGAATAGCCTTTTTTAGAAAGCGTGAGGTTTGGAAAATTCGCCAGTAAACATAATAGATGTTTTGTGGATGTTATTATGGTTTAAATTAGTAGTTGAGTTCACTAGTCAATTGAAGTTAGATTTTAAACTGGCTTCCAGGTTTTCCTCGGTGGTCTTGCTTCAAATGACTCGTGATTTCACCCATTAAATTAAATTACTGTAATATCTACAAAAAACCCTTTTCTGATAATAATAATCATATGCTCACGGAATACTGACTTCAATAGTTATTTTCTTGGAGTTCTGGTGCGAAAGCGTGATCAGTGGAGTTCAACCAGGTCTGTTATGAGATGATTACTCACTGAAGACAGTGTTGGGTGGTTGCAAAATGTTGTGCTGTTGAAGTCAGATATTAACACCGTTGGATGCCGGCTCAGTGGTCTAGTGGTTAAGCGTTCGCAGTGTCCGGTAGGTCTTGGTTTCGAATAATCGGTGAGCACTGTTGAGGAGTACCACGCTTGTACAAAACAGTAACCCAGTGCTTCAGGTTTTTCATGGTGGTC